AGACTCACGCTGTCTTCACACATACGAGTGCATCTGAGAAGGAGAGGCTTGTCTGTGTATCTACAGACAATTACGCAGTCTTTCTCATTGCAAGGCCTGACTAATTATTGATTTACTTGCTGCCTGAATCCTCTGCGCCCTTGCACAAGCAGAGGACATGCTGTTGACTGCAGGGAGACTGTGGGCTTAGCTATAAGCATCTCTCTGTGGGGGGGCCACACCATCTGTTTGCAGGACGCCTTGTTCTTCTTGTCGCTGAAGATACTTCGGTTAGTCTGGTGACTCTGGAGGTATGTTCGGTTTCATTGTCACGCGGCAGAATTCATCTGAATGACTAAAACTTGTGTCAAGTATAATATATGAGGCGCATGTTTTCAACACCAAAGTTGGTGTAAGCTTAGGAAACATAACATTGTGATGTCGTGTGTTTGTTTATGGCCTGTAAGCATTTGGGGTAATCCATCTCCACTCTGTTATCTAGTCTTTTCTATCTTTTTTTTGTCTCTACGTTAAAGCAGCAAATAAAAAATAAAAAACTTCTTGGAAATACTTGAGTGCAGGTCCAGCTACAGCTCCCCTGGTGCTAGTAGGGATTCAGTGCACCGTGCAACTGCACCTTTCATTAACTTTGCACACACGAGCTTCGCATGAGTGTGTGATTTGGAAAAGTAAGCTTCGATTTCGGGAGCGGCACAAATGAAACTAAATGTGGAATTTAATTTTAAGAAAATCATTTGGACATTTATTAAGATAAGGAAGAGAAACCACACTTGACTGGCCTTCGGTGCATTTTGTTTGGCACGCAAACTACTGACGGGGAATTGTCTGGATTTGATATCACACACAGTATCTGTAGGTGCAGACTGTTTCAAAAATTACATTGAAAAAGACCCTCATTCTCCTCAAGTCACTGCGAAGGGGCACATCAGAACTGCAGCTGTCACATGGTTTACTATCCTCTACTGCAGGGGTCTCCAATCCTGGTCCTCGAGGGCCACAGTCCTGCATGTTTTAGATGTTTCCCTCTTCCATCACACCTGATCAGTTCATCATCAAGCTCTGCAGAAGCCTGATAACGATCCTGATCATTTGAATCAGGTGTGTTGGAAGAGGGAAACATCTAAAACATGCTGGACTGTGGCCGTCGAGGACCAGGATTGGACACCCCTGCTCTACTGCATATTGTGTAAAAATAAATAAAACTAATACAACCCCTTCAGCAAACAGACATTAGCAACTAATACATTCTCAAAATGTTGATGCACTTTATATTTCATGGAAAAAAGAAAACATTAATTATAATATGTGGAATTGTTTGGGCACACTTTTACGTCTCAGAGCGTCATTATCTTGCTCTGAATTTAGCATTACTACTCGTAAAGGCCAATTCACGAAACTGCAAAGTCACAGGCTGCCTTTCAGGAGCCATGTGTATTTCTGTGTTCGTTACGAGGGGCAATGTGACCATCTGCATAACAGACCGATGCATACCTATTGTACTACGAATAGAAGCGAGCGCGCATCCGCTGTTGTTTTTCAAAAGTCCACATCAGTCATGCAGAAAACCATGAATTGGCCCTAAAGCAGGTGAAGAATTGTCATTAGAGCGAAAAAAAGAAATTCTGACTCTTCAATCCTTGTGGTACCCGTTCAACAGCCATGGGCTCCTCTAACCGGCAGACGGAGAGTTTATAAATTTGAATAGTCTATATTGGAAAAAGTGCTCCGAACAAATGTAGGTATAATTGAGCCCTTTGGCCACAATCATCAAAGGTATGTTTAGAGAAAAGAATGAGCATATTGGATGAAAAAATAACACTTTGCTAACTGTGGTGGAAATATTCTGTTTGGAATTGCATCATGCATAGAGGTGTTTCTGTCCTTTAGTCTCAGTGATATAAATGGAGAAGACACTTCAACAGCACCATAAACTACATCCTCCACAATGACAGTAAAGTAAAACTTATTTTCAAATTAAAGATAAAAAAGGGCACCTAATAAGGTTTCCAAATTGCAATTCAGTGGACATCTGTTTTCGCTGAGAGCGCAAGTGGAGGATCTGCTGACCAGCCGCCCCTCCCGACTCGTCGGCTGGTAGTCTATACTTACGCACCTGTCAAAGGTCACGTCCAACATACTAATTAAACACACAGTAGCAGAGCGGCGAACACGATAACCAGCCATCGCGTGCTTGTGCGCATGTCCGTGTGTTACTTTTAACAGCTTCCAGAGTGTCATGTGGCAGATCTCATTTCTTGTGCTAATTCACATATACACCACCGAGCGGGGGGGAAATCAGGCGGCACGGCATCGTCCGCCCCTTATCGCACTTCGCAAGACGCATTCATGCATGCACAATAATGTTTACACCATTACACGCGGTATAATGACTACCGCAGCCGAGGTCTCCTTCTAGCCCTAATCAAGGATTTCATTTTTCTCTGTCTTGGTGGCGAACATCAATTCATTAAGGGAATTGTCCTTGCTGCAGTTTTTTATTTCATGAGAGAAACAAGAGTAAAAAAAAAGACATTAGAATAGAATACTGTATGCTATGTTTATATTTGTACAGCCCCCTCCACCAAGAGCACACAGCGCTAAGGGGAACCAGATGGGCACTCCCTCCTGACAGCCCAAACCCCAGCGATGACAGACCCTCTCGAGCTTACAGCATGACACTAGAGGACAAAGCACCTGTTCCCCTGCAGCTCTGTTGCACCGCCCTGCCCCTGCCCCTGCCCTCCACCCCCACGCTGGCACTTTCTCAGCCATGAGGTCACCGGCTCGCTCGGGCCAAAACCGGCTGCGCCACCTGCAAACGTCCCCCGTCCAAAACGATCACCCGAAACCCTCCCCGCCCTGACACCCCTCTCATGTCACCCACTTTCTGATCGGATAACCTTGGCGGGAGGGAAAGTCGCTCCCATAATTACACCCTATATCCGGAATATCCCCCCTCACATATGATTGCTATGAGCTCACGTGCGAATGAAGAGTTTGGAGATCGCAACGGTAAAAGTGACGGCGTTACTCCGAGCACTTCTTTAAGGGACAGAAAAAGGTGGACGCAGCTGATGCGAGCGTGCAGCATAGCGAGGTTGCCGAGTGTGAATGGCATTCACAGATGTTTTTCACATGTCCCGCATGGCTGGACAGTCAGTGTTTGTTTGCATGACAGATCTGCTCACAGGGCCAGCTGGCTGTCTAAATGCTCCTCAGCTCTTCATTTGCACATCACCCATTCTCTGTTTGCCCTGCACTGGACCCTCCATGTAGCCCACCAGACCACAACTCTGCTATTGATCATCTGGAAAAAGCAGATTTCAAACTTTTAGAACAGCAGGAAATGAATTCTGTGAAGAAAAAAAAACAGTGGAAACAGAAAAAGGCAAGAAAGTGAACGATGACAGAATGATCTCTCTTCAGAGGAAGTGTATACAGTAGATGCCCCGGTCACTGAGCCAGCCCATCTGGACCACCTATGCAAGCATCTTAACTCATCAAAGTCACTTATTACACTATGCAATTCTTTTTTTTGTGTGTGGGAAACGGCTTAACAAGCCACAACGAACAATTGTCCTTACGCACAGTGTCTTTAAATACACATCACAGCCAGTTCATCCAACTATGACAAGAGCTGGAGCAACAAACCTTGCATGACTGAATGTGTTGCTGAAGGGAGAAACATTATCCTGTTGCTGCTCAATTTGGGGAAAATCAGCGTCTCGTGGCATCCAGCGGGTATTGATACCAATTACGCATAAGTCTTCTACCACTGAGCTAACTGTATCAATGATCGTAAACGACTGAAGGAGCAGTCGTTTATTCCAGACGGAGCAGAGATCAGTGTAGAACACTTCACCTAAGCTACTGACACTGTGCTTTAACAACTTGTTGCAGACACTGTGTAGTATGAAGTGAATGCTGTCGTTGTTTGCTGATTTTATATTGGTGTTGTGTTGCTTTTTTCTGGTGTAGCAATTTCCCTCAGGTCTTGTACCGAAGGGATCAATAAAGTTTTATTCGATTCTAATTCTAATTCTAGTATCTGAGCATAAATGTACAGATAGAGCAATTAAACGTCACTTATGTCATTCAATTTCATACTTGTCATTTTGGTGTAGTCTTTTTATCTTCATCATCCTTCATATTTCTCCCTAAATCCGTCTAAAAAGTAGAAGTAAGACAGGCCTAACGTACACTTTCTTCACCTCATGTGTCTGCTGTTATTATATTAAGCTGTCTGATTCAACGTGAAGATGAATATTGAGATTAGCACTCCACATAACATATCAAATTCAATTTCCCATTGCATTGTCTTTCTGAGGGACCGGCGACAGAATGATGAAGCTGATGTTTTCCGAGGAAATGAGGCCCAATTTGCAGGGGGGAGGCATTTCTTTCGCATCTTTGCTGGAACCGTAATTGTCATTATTACTGTCAAAATAAATACGGCGCGCACTCGCTTTAAACTAACTTCCTCGCAAAATACTCCTCGCTGCGCTAACACCAAAACAAACTGGTCAGCACCAGGTGAGACATACTCAGTCATGCTTGTTCAAATAAACACACACAAATGTACACAGCAAACACGGAGGCCGGCCTTGGCCTTCAGATCCCCATAGTCTTCCGCTGGTGTTTACAGAAGTGAGTTTAGCTGAAAATATTTGAGTCTTTTCGGTTTCTGGCCACACACACACACACAAACACACACACTACTCATCCAGCCAAAGCAGGATGCAATATGGTACTAAATGTTAAGTTTACAAGGATATTAATGCATTTAATTGTGGTCATTAATCTGCATTTCTTTATCAAGCATTTTCATTTAACTCAGTCTGCACTGCCCTGTAGAGTAGAGATGGTCACCAGATGACAAGGAAGTGTCATTTTAACCAAGCTTATGAATCCATAGAGTGGAACTCCAAATCACTGAGGGGAGGAAAAAAAGAGGAATATGACTGTGTTGTGTCACATGAGGCTGCTTCATTCGCTCTTACCTTATGTCTAGACTGTGGCGAGGCTGATTCCTGGTCTTTCCTGTCCCCGTCTGATGCTCCGGGTCCCAGCCTTGCCCTGTCCTGCTGCATGCTCTGTCCCACCTGCACCATCGCCTTACATTCCACACATGAGCCGATCACCAGCCTCCTGCCGTCGTCCACCAGGAGCGTGCGCGTGCTGCGAGGTGCGTACAAAAACACAGGCAGCCTGGCCACGGTGACCGCGCACAGCCGGCCTTGCCTGCGCTGCTCCTGCCTGCAGAAGAAACACACAAAAGACTCGCAGCTGTACTGGCGGGCCCAGGGGGAGCTGGGCGGCTGGGGGTTGGCACTGGATAAGCCAGAGGTAGATGGGGTGGAGGGACCCAGGCCCTTACTCTCGTGTTGGGCCCACTGAGCGTGCAGGTCGTGGTAGCAAAGGTTACAGGCCGACACCAGGCCTGTGGCGTCGACCGGCTTGGCGTGGGGAGCGGGAGGGTGGACTGTGAGAAATGGGAAAAAAGGCTCCCTCTCCCCACAGCGACCAGGCGGGTTGACGTGCAGCTGGTACTCTCCTCCTGCACACAGCTCAGCCCCACACAGGTAACACACCGACATGGAGGTGCTGGGTCGCGACGCCGCCCCCGTCTGAGAGCGGGCCGGTCCGGACCCATCGATGGACATGGCGGCGTGGTACCTGACCAGGAAGGAGCTGACAGAGGTGATGAGGTCCTCGCTAAGGCTGAGGCGATACGCTCCCCAGATCTCCTCCAGGATAAAGTGGCACTGTGGGCAGCAGTGTACACGGCCGTTCCTCACTCCCTGAGCATTAGGCGGGCAAGGCAGCATGTTGATAAAAGGAAAGTACATGACACCACGAGATTTGCCAACACCAGCTTGTGCGTACGCTACCCTCATATCTCCTCCGCACTCCTGGCCACAGAGGAAACAGGCCTCCTGGGAAGCCTTCGGTTCTGGTGTGCACTCCATGGACCCTGGGGGTATTTCCTCATGTGAAGCAGACTGGGAAGGATGTCGAGCGCTGGTGGACTGGTTGAGGGGGACGACGTACAGGCGCTGGAGGACAGGCACATCGGCCAGCTGGAAGCTCTGCCACTGCTGCAGGAGGGAGGTGTGGCAGCTGCCGCACACGAGGGTCGTACCTGATGGACTGATAGGTACGGCACCCCGGGGAGCAGAGTGAAGCCACAGGAAGGGGAAGAAGGGCTCCCCCTGGGCCCGCTCCTGTTTCTGAACACTGACTTTAAAGCGACCATCATGTCTGAGGCCAGTGCCACAGATGTAACACACACACTCCTCTGGACTGGAGTCTGCAGTGTGGTGCTGCTGCTGCACACTCTTTCTTGGTGAAACATCTGTGGTAGGTTTCAGCTGAGTTGTTGGGCCTGTTCTGCTGTCATACATGTCCCTGTCATCATCACTTGTGATGTTAATCTCATCTTCATCAGAGTTGTCAGAGTTGTTCTCCCTGGGTACAGTCATGCTGTATTGTGGAGTGCCAACAGCAGACAGAGCAGCACTGGAGCTCTCCTCGCCTCTTCCTCGGTACAGCAGCGACGGATGTCTGGACGGAGCACAGCTGCTGTCGGCAACACGCTGGATCTGACGCGGCTCCACATGTCTGACATTCTCCTCCTCCAGCCATCGCCTGTTGCGCATAATGACCCCGTTGTCTTGCACAGGTGTGTCAGCGAGAGGGCTGTCATAGCATCGCTGGGGGAATCTCTCTTGGGACTTTGCCAGAGATTCTGATGACTGACAGACATTACTCATAATTTTAGCACCGCGCCTCGCTGGCAGAACATTCTCCGCTTTTGGCGATCCGTGCGCCCCATAAACACCCGCCGGGTAGCGCATTGCCCGCTGTGAATCTGGACTGTTTTTAATACTGATGACATTGTTTTTCCTGCTACCGTCTCTTGACGACTTGCCGGACGCTCTCAGACACTTGTCTTTGCCCACGCCGACCCTGTCGACCAAATCCATCTCCTGGTCTGATATGTTGTCGTTTTCAGAAAAAGAGGAGAAATCAGACTCTGCGCCCCCGTCGTAGTTCTGGCTGCTGACACTGATCCTCCTCTCCAGGTCGTAGGAGATGTTCCACTCCTGTGGGACCCGGCGAGAGTCGCACTGGTACGGACGTTTCAGCCAGTACATGCGCTTCTCGATGGGCGTCCTGCTCCGCTCGAACGAGTTCCACTGCTCCGTCAGGAAGCAGTGGCACACGGCGCACACCAGCGCATGTCCATCCGGGCTCACTTCACACGCGCCCGGGGCTGGCTCCTGATTTTGCAGAAACGGGAAAAAGGGAAACCTCTCCTTCTGATATGTCACTTGTAACCTTACTTCCTTGCCCGGTGTAACTCCGCTGCCACATATAAAACAGTGAACAAGTCCCCCTAATCCGTTCCGATCGCTCCTGGAAGTGTTGCCGGGCAATGGGCTGTCTTCACCGGGCATAGCTGCAGCCATGAGTCGGTGTTTCCGAGATAAGGGTGCCAGTTCCTGGTCACGGGGGGAGTTCATTGTTTTGTTTTTTTTAAACACCCAAGACTAGGCTACATGGCATAACGTCCTCAGCTAGGTCATACTCGTGATAAAACAGTTGTCTCCAAGTCAGGAAACCATGCAATCAATTTTTGTCCAAGTTACTCACTGAATGATAAGATAGTCCATTGAAACGCCAGCGTGCAGCGGAGGCAGCAGCAAACCGTTAACTGTTATTTTTCCAAGGACAAGGAGGAAATTCACTGGGAAAGAAAAAAGAAAAAAAACATCCAAAACACAGAAGTCCTTGTTATTTGCAGCCTGTCGTCCGCATGTTTTGCACTGGACATCCGTGGGTAAAATGACAGAAGAACTTGGGTCGCCTCTCCAGCGAACTTTCCTGCCTGTGCTCTGCAACTTTGGCTCGCTGACTCGCTCACACTGTACACAGCGCCATCCCCAATTCATGGGACCCGCTTCGACACCCCCCGAAAGGCAACCTCCACCCCCCCTTGCCAGCCCCCAGTAATAATTTTTGCAGAGATTACGAGCGCGCACTGCTGGTCCGTGCGTCCGGAGCGGTGACCAGCGTGCACAGGATCTCCAGGTTAACACGCACAGGGGCGGGTTGTTTAATCAACGGGCTCCCGTAGTTATCACCTGCAAGGGAAAAAAAAACTTTTATTGTAATTTGTATAAAATTACATTTAGAGTGAGAAACTTTGATCAACTTTGCATGATCAGTTTTATCCCACGAATGCACGAGTGGGAGGATATTTGGCTCCATATGTGGCATTAAAAAATTGAATTTCCCTTCTGGGATAAATAAAGTATTTTTCATTTCATATGTGGCATTAAAAAAATTCTGCTTAGTACCAAAAAATAAATAAATAAATGTTATCAGTAAGAAAATGTTTGCTCCAATATATTTTTGTGTGTATACTAAGTAAGGCAGGTTTGGAAACCACTGTGTGCAACATGAGATGATTTTGATAATAGATTATCATTAAATTAAAGCCCTGGGAAACTGATTTCCAAGGAGTTTTACGTTTCAAATTAAATTTACAGTTAATTAATAGCTGTGTCTAATCCATTTTTATTAAATAAATGGGAGGAAATCTGTGAGTTTAACAATCAATCGTGAGGGAATATGTGCAAATTAATTGAAAACGTGAAACTAAATAACTGATAGCATAAGTCCAGACAGAGTTATCTCCAAGTCTGTAGCAAATGCCACATAAGACATCAGTGCCTCAGGTGGTTCCAAAGCCTTATGACACAACAGAGAGCCACTGGGGAGGACAAATCACATGACGCTGGTATGCCCTGAAACATCGCCAACCTTCTTCGGTTTTATAACACCAACGCTGGTGTTTTTGACATGTATGCATGTGCCAATAGCAGCACCTCAACAGAAACAAACACTCCTCAGCATTAGGGATGGTGGCAGCATCATCAAACTGCATTCTCTGCAGCTGGCCCTGGAAGATTCACAGCACAAGGAAATGTTGGCAGAAAGCCCTCGTTGTGTAGTTCTCCTCCAGTTTGTGACAACTGTGACTTTGGAGATTTATTTTCTAGCAAGACAATGACCCCAAACACGAAGCCCAAAGCTGCACATTAATAGTCTCGAAACAACAATCTCAGAATCCAGGACTAAATCCAACTGAGAATTTGTGGCAGGACATAAAATTGCTCCCAATGCAGCTTAAATTGCTTAATTAAAAAGCTTTACAAAGACGACTATCTGCTCTTTATCCGTCACAATGTGTGGCCGGCCTTCGAGCAGGGTGAGAAAACAGCTCTTGCACATTGCAATATTTACACCCTCGTTATTGCTTTCTCCCTTTTGCTGAGTTTCTGCATCTCAGACAAAGAAGACACACAATCAGACCACAAACGGCCACGTCATCTAACGGTAAGACACAAGAACAGCTATCTTAGTCCGTTCCGCTGTGTGCTGCCGTTGGCCTCATGCACTGTCTTGTGACCCGCTGATGTCAGAGAGTGCAGGACAACCTCATATCTCCTCCCCTTTATCATCCCCATCATCCCCTGAGGAAAAATAAAGCTCCCTCCTCAGCCTTCCAACCCAGGAAGGTTTTAATGATACCGCCGAGCCTCCCGATCAGTTTCTGCAGGCAAGCTCACAGCAACAAGGGAATTCCTCAGTGATGCTGACTTGTTTCCTTCTGTCAATTCCCACACATTATTAGATTTCCAATGAAATTAGAGCATAGCAGTGGAGGTTAGTTATCCTGTAACTCGCAGATTACCGTATTAGCAGCGCACAGCCCGATTGCTCTGTTCCCACTTGAAGTTATTCCTAACACTTAGTGAAACACTAATGATGTGTTGTCAGCATAGATTTACAATACTGCCTTGTACTGTCAAACCTCGGTACTGCATCATCTGGGAAATCCCCCTGTGCAGCCAGTTAGAGGATCACAGGCGAATCACAGAGGAGCAGAAGAAAAAAAAAAGGAAGAAAAAAAACATTGAGTGAGTAGAGAGCAAGAGAAGAAAAAAAAAAGAAATAGTCTCTGGTTTTTTCTGATGGGTGCAAATGAAAGGAAAAACATAAAGTCACACAAATTAAAAAAGATTATTTCACCTGCTAATCTCTGGGTAATACTGGCTCCTTTAATAACTTCAAGCCTCTGAAAATCCTTCAAATAAAATGGGATTTGTGTGTGTGTTGGAAAAGAGAGAGGAGAAAGAGAAGGCAGTATATTTGAATAAAATTCTATTGTGGAGTATAGTGTAGGGCCTCCAGGAGGTTTGTCAGAGGGAGGTGATGACAGAGGAGGGAACAGATACTCTGAGCGTGTGTGTGTGTGAAGTGTAGGTATCACAGAG